TTTGGAAGTCCAGTATCAAATATTTTGTAGATAGATGCGTAGAGGATTTGAATCTGTTCATTACTAGCTATTCTCCGTTCCCTTTTTGGAGCGAGATTTTGAGCATTTTGGAAGAAAAAGTCAATTTACTGAAGGAGATGCAGACAGATTCGTTCATCAGAGTTTCGCGATTTGGTAGCTTTTTAGGTACATTAGATGAAGAAGAGATGCTCGGTGGCGTCGACTATGCCAGTGAACTTAGAGGTGAGTTATGGCCGTTCATAGATTATTTTCTTAGCTTGTGTTTTATGCTTCTGACTTGCTGCTGCAAATCTGCCAACAAGAGTTGTTTTTAGAAAATATCTTCGTTCCAGAACTGGAGGACGAAGGCAATATGGATATTGAAGAACTGCGAAGGCGTTATGGGTATGCAACTGAAGGCAGTGCAGAAGCTGAGGTATCTCATTATAAGTTAGACTGAACTGCTTCTTAGGAGGAAGTATTCTAGTGCGAAAGCGGTTCTGATACAGCAGGAAATGCTGAAGAAGGTGAATCACAAGATGCGGAAGCAAGTGAAAGTGCTGAATTCCTGCACTTACCCTATGATGAGCTAGATGAGGGCGAGGAATCGGATGACAAAGACTACGCTCCGCCAGACCCTTGGAAGAAAGACGTCAGTAGAATCTTGTCACTATCTAAGTGCATTTTTCAAGCTTTTTTCTGTTTTCTGTAGGTACGTGTAGATGCAGGACGCTATCAAGCTGCTGTTCCCGAGTCAATGAACGATGAAACATCAGTGGCTTCGAGTGACAACGACAACGATTTACCGAATTTGCCTGTGGCAGCTCCTCGTGGAGCATTATGGATGCCACCTAGCGACATCTCAGATGCAGAAATAGATCGATTTCTAGTGGATATAGTGAATCTACGAGCTGCACATGGTCAAATCTTCTCTGAACGTTATCGCACGGTAAGACATAACTAAATGTCCTTTGCTTGGGTTTAATGTTTGACAGTCTGCAGTTTTCCGGCGGGATTGAGCACATGTTTTTGTTTCTGGAAACAGGCATAAGAAGCCCGGGATTTATCTCTTGTTCGAATCTCCACACACATAATAACGCGATTTTATGGTTTGAGGAATGTCGAGCTTTTGGAATATGCTGCGCTTCATGTCTATATCCTAAGGAATTGCCACCAATATGTCCTGTTAGGCCTCGGGCAGAGTTCACGCGATTTCATCGCTGCTATTCTCCCAACAAGACAAAAAGTCAGTCTGTTGCATGCCGATCATCTTGCAGTTTGTTTGTGATAGTTTATCTGGATGACCAATCGTGACTAACTACCACAATCGAAATGCAAGATGATCAGGTTGCAATGGACTTGTAACTCTTTGTCTTGCTGGCAGAACAGCGCCGATGGAATCGTGTGAACTCTGCTCCAGGCCCTAGATAGTTGCCTTGTACATCATCTTCTGTACTTCATTCAGTCTTTCCGTTCGGCCTCTTCTACTGGAAAGTCTATTTTTCAGACGAGAGACGACGAAGATGCACTGTGCGCGCTTTATAGGAATCATTACGATATAGA